ACGAGGAGCGTCTCGCCACGTCGAACGAGTAAATTAGGTTATTAATTTCTTCGGTGCGCGGGACGCGCTTGATTCGCTGGTGACCGATGACCTTTTATTCGTTGTGCCCCGATTGTGAAGAAACGTGTTCGTTAACGTTAGAACTACTGTGCAGATCGAATTGACCCATCTCCGGATTCTCCCTTTACAATTATTGGAAGAATTATAGTTGTTGCCCTGAGAAATTGTTAAAGAAATTAACTTGGCAATACGCAAACTGAATAAGTCAATTGAAATCGCAACGAATACGTTTTTGGTGTCTCTATACAAAATTGTAAAACGAAAATAAAGTTTCTCAGTAGTTCCAGCGTTAATTAGACGAGAGAATAAAGTAATCGTTAACAGAATGTACGGAAACGAAAACTCATCGCAGAAGACCAAAAGCATCAAATTAAATATAGCACATCTTCAAAACACGGGGCAACAGAAACAAGCTGATTGGATTTTTCAAAACAGTGGATCCGTAGAAGGAAATCTAAAAATTAGGCGAGCATGTTGCTGACCATAGAGAAATCGATGCGATATTAAATAACGGAAGGAGAAGGAAAAAAATAAAGTAATTGTAAGCGTTCGAAGAAAACGGTTTAGCTGAACCGGGGAACCGATCGGCGGCTACGGGATCGTGCAGCAAGGAAAAAGCTTGACGAACCCTGTATCTATCTATTTTCTACGGAGAAACTTCGTCGAGCTTGAAATCGCCGACGGCGTATCTTACTTGTGGAATCGCGTGAGACAAACAAACATACGGATCGTTGCGCCAAGCGTTAATTAAACCGAGCGCCGTCCAATTAAGACGCGGAGTGTACGGTGCTCGCTGTCAGAAGGAACACCGGCCGCATTCGTGACGAAAATTCTGACCGTTAATTATTCCCCTGGCCCGTCGATGAAAAGTTAAGTTAAATAAGAAACGGTCTTCTAGCGAATCGAATCATTCGATTTTAGATCGCGAACTGATGATGGAAGGAATGTCCTTCGAAGAGAGCTGGATTCCTCGCGCAAGACCGGGAAACCAGACTCGAATTGATTTTATTCGTATCCTTGATTCCCGGCTTAACCCATGGACCACCGGAGGGGAGGATATTTCTCGTGAGCCACGCGAGAAATTACCCGTACCACCGTAGCTCGTGTTAATCGCACGAATTTCGTGGAATTTCTGACTAAAGGAAAGTATGAAATTTATCCTGCCCTCGATCAGCAATCCATAAAAAAAAGGAAGGCTGAGTTACTGGTAGACCAGGGGCGAACGCGTTCGACGAGAGAAGCTGAAAATTCACCGACGACCCAACGACAAAGGAGGCATCGTCGTCTCCGTGAGAGGGAGGTCGACGAACGAACGGGAAAATAAGGCAGAAAAAGCAGCGCGGCGGATGCAGGCGAGCGGCGACATCGGTCGGGACGAAGAACGGACAATCTTGTGATGTTTCATCGTCCCGATGTTGCGGGT